GCTCCACAGAGGCAAGATGGAAGCTTGAGTCCAGGGAAGCAGTCACCGGATGTCCTTAAACGTACTGTTTTACCATGCTGTAGGGGCGTGGCCGCCATCACACCTTCCCAGCACCGCCTGAACCTCACATTTTCTCTCTGTGTCTTCCCCACACAGAGTCTGAAGCCTCCGACGGACGGCACGAAACACCCAAATTCAGGTCTTGCTCACAACTAGACATACATAGCTGCCCTTGGACGTGACAGACACGGTTAGCAGTTCCGATAACTTTTTGAGAACTGGAAACACATCTCTCTAAGGCCCTCTGGTTTTTAAGAATTCTATTGAAAACCAGCTGTCATGGTGAGGGCTTGCCTTCCCATGAACTTGATCTTTCTTTCTGGCGGTTTTCAATATTATTTCTTTGCTCTGTATATTCAGTGTTTTAACTATAATGTGACATGTGCAATTTCTTCTTTGTTGTTGTTTTCTTTATTGGGGGCACTGTCTCTTTGTTTGATTGAGACAGTCTCATTATATAAGGCTGCCTGGCCTGGAACTTGCTATGTAGACCAGGCTGGCCTTGAACTCACAGAGATCCACTTGCCTCTGCCTCTCCAGTGCTGAGTTCAAAGGCGTGCAACACAGCACCTTGCCCGGGCAGAATTTCTTTTCTGGTCCTGTCTATATGGTGTTCTGTGTATGTCTTATATCTAAATGGACATCTCTTTCCCTAGACTTGGGATTTTTGTCTATTAAAAATATTTCCTATGTTTTTGGCATGAAATTATTTTCCCTCTTCTTTAAAATTATAGTCATAGATTTTTTTTCTGTTATGGCTTTCTACTCCATTCATTTGTTATGGATCTTCATATGCCATTCACACATTTTTTTAAAAAACTATCCCTTATCTTGACAAAATAATTCAATTCCTCTATCTTTTCTTCAAGCCCTAATATTATGTCCTTTCACATGCTCCATTCTGCTGGTAAGACTTTCCTCTAAGCTTTTTATTGGACTTATTAAAAATTTCCCTTCCATCATCATTTCAGTTTGTTGGGTTGTTTTTGTTTATAGTGTTTCTATCTCCTTATTGAATTCTATTTTCATACCCCAAATTAACATCCTAATTTCAATCAGCTGTTCATATTCTCTTGGAATTTATTCAAGAATTTATTCTTGTCTTTAACTTATTTGAACATACTGATAACTGTATTATAAATTTGTAGTTGTCCTTTGCAGAGAGTGAGTGAAGTCCTGAGCACACGCATATTGTTGGCCTGGGCACAGTCATGTCAAGGACCAAGACCTCAGACTCCTGGGAAATCAGCAAAGCCCTCCCCATGTGGGTCACGTTCAAGTGCAAAAGGTGGTAGTGTATGCAAGTACAAGTATTAAATGACTGACATGTGTGTGTGTGCCAAAGCTAGCAACCACAGCTTCCTCCTCCAGCCTACAGACCTATGAGAGACTAGCTACCCCTCCCCGGGTGCTGAAGTTTCCAGTTGCCCCACAGTGGGTACCACTCCTCAGAGTGTGTACAGCCCACCTGATCCCGGCTTTACTGTACATCTGTCTCTGTGTCTGCCTTTTCTTCAGTCCTTTGCTGACCAGTCAGGTTTCCAGACCCAGGCCGTGTGGGACACAGTAGTCCTTTTTGTTTTTTAGGATTTGTTTATTTTTTTTATGAGTATGAGTGTTTCGCCTGCATCTAGGTACATGCACTTCATACCTGCCTGGTGCAGGACGAGGCCAAAAGAGGACAACCAGATTCCCTGGAACTGGAGTTACTGTTATAAGCTGTCATGTGGGTGATGAGAACTGAACCCCGGTCCTCTGTAAGACTAGCAAGTGCTCTTAAGTGCTGAGCCATCTCTCCAGCCCCAGTAACTGTCATTTCTCTGTCTAGAGTTTCATTTCAGGGGCTCTCACTGGGGTTCCCATAGGAGCGATCATTTTTTGGAGAAGACATACTGTCTTGGTTTTTCTTGTCACTGCTGTGTTTGTGCCGGGATCTGCCCGTGGGGGTTAACTTGCTGGTTCCGTGTGT